CGGGGGGTTAGTTAGGGGTGGTATATTGACGGCCGGCGTCGCGAGGACGCCTATACTTAGTGTGCCGGCGAACCGACGCGTTTCCAGCTAGGCGTCCCCCCGTTCCACCCTTCTTCTCTCTTCGCTCTCCACCCGTCCGCCACCATCGGCCACCCTTCACGACCACCACCCTCCTACACCCCCTACCGACGACTCATTCTACACCCTCTGCTGCCACCTTCCTCGAACCCTCCCTCCTCCCTGGCTCTCCCTCGGTCCATCCTTCGTCCACCACCCCTCGAACCATCGCTCGCAACCCCCCTTTCTCGACCTTCTTCTACCTCGACCCTACTTATCCTAGGGTCTTCGCGTCTAGGTGTAAAAGTGTCTAGAAACGGCGACTTTCGTGACGCGCCAGCCATCGAAAGACCATCGGCGACGTGCTTTAAAATTAACGACCTGTCGGATAGCGGACGCGGACGACGAGGAGGAGGGAGGGCCTCCTTCGTTGCGAACCGATGCGACCGGACGTACCAAGGCGACCAGAATGCAACGCGAACGACGAAATCGATGCCTCCGGGCACCGGGAGAGCTTCGTGACGCACCTGATGCGAGAAAACGGGGGACGTCGACCAAGGGAAACGAATAACGAGGGAATACGTCCAAAGAGAGAACGAGAGAGAGAGAAAGAGGGTAGACCTCGATTAGGGAGGGACCGAACGAAATTATGTATACGTCGAAGATGATGGCGACGATGCACGCGATGGGTTCCCCGGGCGTAAAGTCCGAGACCGGGGATGTGGCTAGGAACGTTTCTTTGTCGGGTGCCTCGGCGAACGGATCGGTTTCTCGAGGGCCCTTAAAAGCCGAGACCTCTCGGAAACTCGCGTCCTCGATCGTCGTTAATTATCATTATTTGCGCTGGCCACGATACAATTTACTTTATTGGTCTCCGCGTCGCGATCGCGGCACACTAACTTGCCAGACAGCGTAATTACGATGCTGATACGCGTAGTTACACCTGCACCTTGCTCCGCATAATTTCCCCGTAAATACGCGAACTTATCGGGAGACGGCTGACATTCGAAAAGGTTTCGTCCAGTGATCGGTGCAGTGAGAGTAGTAGAATCGTCACACTTTTCTCGATAATGATCAAGCGTAGCGGACGAAACAAAGAGGTTTATTGTGAAATCACCGGCGTGGAATGCCTCCCCGGGTGCACTTACCTGAAATTGATGGCGCCCGTTCGATTTGGTACATAGAAAGGCAGTTAGCGGTGCCAGCGAACGGAAAGAGCAACGGAGAAGACCAACGAAGGAAGCGGAGTGTTCGTAAGATCGACGAGTAATCGAATTAAGGGTGCTCGAGGTGACTAATTCTCGAAGACGCCGCGTCGGTAAGGAACGCTTCGTTCCTTCAAAACAATCTTCGTGTATCATGCATCGTCCTTCGCAAACAACGCTAGTCGAAAAATACTTGTTCGTTTACGAAACGTCGCAATGACTTACGGCGCTTCTCGTAATCGATGGACAAACCGAGCCACGAACAGTGAAATCGAACAAACTTCGGGAACTGGCACAAGTTTTCGCCCTTGTGGTTGTTCCGATTAAATCTGCCGCCGTTGATAATCGATGAATTATCGATATCTTTCTCGTACCGTGTCATGCTTAACAATATATTTGGATACGGGTGAAATGTCGCTAAAGTTAAACAATCAAATATAATCTAATCGTGTCTCTTTAGTCTAAATCAAATTTCAATTTTAAACTCGAACGAGAATAGATAAGTTCGAACGATACAAATACGATTTCCATTTCGGTTACTCTCGATATCGTAATCGATATCTGCACCTTTGGTTCGTATTCGAATCCGTTTTCGCGAACGGATTAAAAATTCTCGTCGAAACTGTTTAACGGCATGACCGGTGGTAGACTGCGAGGTTTATTAGAGTAACGTCACCGATGTTTCATTGAACGCGCAGTCATAGCCCGATGACGTCACACCGTATACCGCCTTCTACGATACATAACCTGTATACGTAGACCGCCACGGACAGCACCGCGCCAGTAAACGCGAACTTTATGCCGCCAATTTCAGCCTGGATGCCAACGGCTTGCGAACGTCTATCGATGACTCGTGTCTTCCTTTGGTTATCGATCGCGACTACGTACGAAGTTTCGACGAACAGCGTCAAACCTCGTCTACGACGCCTCCGACATTTCGCTCTAACCTGTTAATATTTCCTTTCTTCTTTCGATTCGTTGATCGATTCGAGCGAATACGAGGAAAGTTTGTTTCCGTGTCAAGTACATCGATATTTGTCGATATCGAGAGTGCTATCGAATCGTGCGAGCGTATCGAAAACGAAAGGGTTATTTTATTCTCTGTAATTATCGAACTGTTTACCGTTCATTCGATTCGAGTATTTCTTTTCGGTTTACCTTTATCGCACGTAATATGTATGGAACGGAATTTAGTTCGTTTAAAATGGATCGTTCACACGATAAGAATAATTGAACGACAAAATGGTTTTTCGAGTCACATTGATCTCGGTTGGTTTGTATTCCGTCTCAAGTTCCAACGATTTTTCCGTCGGTAACGGAGCAAAACAAATTATCGCGGTTAGATTGAGAACGAGAGGGGTGGAGCGCAACCGCGGCGGGGGAGCGGAGACGAAGGTGGAGGATATAGATAAAAGTGCGTGAGAAGGACTCGAAGGCAGATAACGAGACATCGTTGCGAGGAAATAGGGAGATGTAGTAACCGCGAACGAGCACTTTGCGAGACTTCGTAATGTATTTACTACGCTTTGTTAAACTTTTATCGATACTAATTTTTTTTTCACCAATCGTGATTCGATTATCCTAACTTTCACTCGCGTATCGATATTCGCGACATTCGATACCGGTGCTTCTTTCTTTACGAGTATATATCGATCGTAACGGTAGTCGGTATCGAAAAGTATCGATTCAGTTCCGTGCACGCGTTAACGCCGTTTCGAAATACTGTTAAGCAGTCCCAAATATTATTCTCGATTTTCCCTGCATTTAATCCGCGATAGTCGATGTGCCACGCACGTGAAATTCAATTCGAGCAAAAGCGTTAATACAATTACGTAATAACGGGACAAGATTATCGTATCGCTGTGCCGCGGCAAACGTCGACCGAATCGTGTAACAAGGTTATGTTCTCGTTAACTGCTTCTGCGCCACAACTTTCACGAAAATCCGACGCTCCTTTTTTCCCCTGTATCGTTTACGGACAAAAGAACAGAAACGAATTACGAGTACCAACCTGTTCAACCGTTGGAATCGCAGTCTTGGATGCGCGTGCGATAATTGCTCGTTGGTATTTGTCATCGCGACGAGATTAACGATGTTGCTTTCTCGGCTGGTGAAACGAGATAGCAGGGGAGTGCAAAAAGAAAAGGTTGGCTTATATTATCCGTTCAGATACGTAATGGTTTAGTTCGTGTTCGGTAGTGCCAGGTATTGTGTTAGATACTTCTTTGTCTCGTTTAATATCTACCGTTTGATAATGTTCCAGCATCTAGTTATTTTTATCGCGAAAGGTGGTTCTAGGTTAGATTCTGCCAAGAGCAAAGACAAACAGGAGGCTTTACATGCACTTACCCTTAACCAAGAAAAGCGATAATATAAACCTGTCTTTAGTATCGTGAAAAATGCAGCGAGATTATGTATCATTATCTGGTTATCGGAATTCGAGAGAATAATGTGTTTTTCGTTAGACTTGGAATAATCGTAGGGAAGATCGAACGTCGATGCGTTCGATTTAAAACGACCAATCGACAGACGGTCGATCACTTTTCGCGCATGCGCAATTACTTATCGGCCGCGTCGGTAAATAACGGCTTCGTAGATACGCGACGCGATTATTCTTCTTCGACGGCTTTCGCGTCACGATTTTGCCTTCTTCCTTCGTTCCGGCAACGAGGAGCAGATTTAAAAGTGAATTATCGCGCGAAAGAAAAAAGGAACAGTGAATTTTACGGTGGGAAATTATGACTTCTACGTACGGAAACGTTTGCGACGAGCGTTGAAAACGATCGGACGGGGATAAAGCGCACGTGTTGGATCTCACGTTTGCGGATCGTTCCTCGGAATACTGTTTTTTCCTCGTCGTATTTACCCGGATAACCGAGCAATCCCGCTTCGCCGTCGTCCGCCAACTTTGCGCCGCGTCGTGAACAGACGTCGAGTTTGCGGCGGCTCGAATTATCGGTCGGCGACAGTGCCGTCGAGTTTGTCGAAAAGCAGGGCCGTACGAACCGCTCGACCGCGTTTGCCTCTCGCGTAATGGGACACGAACGTCCAGCCGTGCGCGTCACACACTCGCAAAAGTACATACGTATTACGAAAAACCGTGCAAAACTTGTTCGAGCGTGCTACAATTTTCACTCGACGAACCGTTCCGGCTCGCGCCTTGTAATTTTATCTCCAAGCGACAATACCGCGCTAGAGGAACGGCTTCGTCGGAAATTTATAAATACCCCTCACGGAAAATAAACTACGGACATTGATTTTACGCTAAGACCTATGGACATTATTTATGAAATAAATTTTACTGCTATACCTCGATGTAACGTTTAATATACTTCATTTCCATTTCTTTATAAACTCTACCTAATATTCGGACCTATCGAGACGCTGGTATCGATTATCGACAAGTTTATCGATACGTTATGCAAGGTATCAAAACGGAAGAAGGAAATGATCGTGTTTTAAATAATTGCAATCACAGCGTGTTTTGCATGGACATTTTTATTGCGGTAGTCGATAATTTAACGACTTACCGATACTATCGTTAAGAGTAATGGAAGCGATGAGCTATTGTGCTATTATGCGCATGCGCAAACGACGTAACCGATACATAATTTTTATAAATCTAATTATTCTTGTCACGTAAAATATACGAATAAATGGACACGAATGATAGTACTGGGTGTTATATTTTATTTTGATCGTCCGAATTAACGATATATGTATCGATATCTGATCGACTATAAACAATATCTTCACTTAAGTCAGTTTTACTAGTCTTAATAGTATTTTAACGATACTATTGGTATATCGAATTATTGACAAGATTTTGATATATCGATAGGAGCGTTGCGTCGGGGCAGATATATCGTTTATCCACGAGGTGCCATAGGGTTCGTTCAAAAGCGATTGACCAAGCGGCAGATTAAAAAAAGAAACGAGGGAGAGAGGCTCTCGTTTGTACCTGCGAACTTTGCGAAAACTCCGGGCCGCTCGTTCAAGGTTGCCATAATCCCCGTTAACGTCCATTTTTTTACCGTCGCGCTAGCTTTTTCTTTCTCTAGTCCGTGACCTCGTTCGTTCCCCGACGTAAATCCGTCACAGAGTCGCGATGTCCGCGCTTCGTTTGGGGACACCTTTTTTTCCTCTCGCTCTATCCTTCTCTCTATATCTTGCCACCGTCGTTGGTCGTCGTCGACGTCGTCGTCGTCGTCGTTGTCGCTGGTATTCTCTCTTTCCCCCTTCGGTTCCCCCTTTAACCGCCCACTCTTTTCCCCGTGTCCCTCTCGCGAGAGAGTGCGTTCGATCGACCTGAATTTTTTTCCTCGCTCGAATCGGGAGCCCTGAGAGCAATTTCTCGACTCGTCGCGGGGTGGTCGTCGTCGAGGAAAACCCCGAGGAAAATCGTCCGATCGATCTGCCTTCGGTCTTCAGGTCCGAAACGAACTAACGAGAGGAAGCGAGACGGGTTACACGTAGCTTGCAAGGGAAACAGAGAGAGAAGGAGAGGTGCCAAGAGAGAGAATACTCGAGATGGAAGGATAGAGAGAGAGAGAGAGAGAGAGAGAGAGTGATCACTGGTACTTGCCAGGGATCGGTGGGAGGGGGTTTGAGGAAGCGTGGCCGAGGGAGAGGAAAGCGAGAGAGGAGTACACAAGTATGTACAACGCGAGCTTCGCGTACATAGCGGTGCCCGTTTCCTTGTAGTTGTGCGCGGGTGGGCGACCGTCGCTTTAAGCCGCGTACACAACTGGCCACCCTGCGATCATTTGCGTCGCGATATTCAGGCAAAAAGGTTTACATTCGTTTGGAAAGTTATTATTCAACTATTTTATTCATATGTTATTCAACAGTAAATAAATTATATCTATCATAACTTCTATCATATGACGTATATGTCGTTATAAATTTATTGCCCAAGACAAATCTCAAATTTTGTATTTTTCTTGTAAGTTTATTAAATAAGCGATTTTTGCTTCAGTCTCTTCTGCAACATGGGCAACGTATTCAACGTTGTAAACGTGCCATCGAAATTTTTACATAGCGATCAGAAACATGAATACTAAAATCAAAAGTTTCTTATCGCGGACAAAATTTATTTTATTCGCATAAAAACATCAATTTAAGAGTTAAAGAAACTACGAAATTGAATAAAGTCATTTCATTTATCTCCTGCTCTATAAACACTCCATCAGAATTATCACCCTAGTAATTTGTAACTCCTACAAAGTTGAACTACTGTTATTAATTGCGCTGTTATCAATTCACACAGATTGTTATGCAACAGATTAAGAAGAATTATTCAATTATAAACAAAATTGTTAAAATAGACAGAAGTAAATGTATGGAAAAAGAAATGAATATAAACGGTCTGAAGAGTGATCGTATGAAGTTCTGAGGGAGTAAATAATTTGCAGAAAAATTGATCACAGTAGCCGGAAGGTTTCGGTGTGAAATCACCTTAATAGCCGATAGGGTGGACAGGATGAGGTACACGTACCACCACACCGAAATCTTACGAGCCTGCCTCTGCTAACTACCTCCTATCTGCCCTGCCCGAGGCCCTGAAAACGTTCTACGTTACGCCTCGCGGGGACCCATTTCGCGCGAACCTCCTGCTCAAGAACGTACCTTCATTTACGGGTGCCCTGTACCTTCAGCAAATTTTCATAATTTATGCAAAATATCGCTAGTGATCATTGTAAACTGATGCAGAGCTTTTAAGGTTGAGATTTGTTCAATCTTTGTACTTTCTTGAAATTTTTATGATTATCCAGGTATTGTTATTGATCGTTGCTAATATGAAGCTGATGATTAATATGAAGCTGATGATTGATATGAAGTTGATGATTGATATGAAGCATTTAAGGTAAAGATGATTGCTGTCTTAAATGGCACTGCCATTTTATGTGACAGAGATTTCAAAGGTAGGGTTTGGTCAAGGTAGGAATTTGGGAGTTTAGAGATTTAGGGAGGTGGAAATTTGAGAGTTGGAATTAAAGAATTTGGAAATTTAGGAATGCAAATTTGAGAATTTGGGGTTTTTGAGAATTTGGTGTCTTTGGAATTGGAAACCTGAGAGTTGGAATTAGAGGATTTGGAAATTTAGGAACGCAAATTTGAGAATTTGGGGATTCTGAGAATTTGGTGTCTTCGGAATTGGAAACCTGAGAGTTTATACAGTTTGAGAATTCAAAATCTAGAGATCTGGAAATCTGAGAAATGACAGAATTCAGAAATTTAGGAATTTGATACATTTGCAAATCTGAGAATCTGTGGACTCCGAAAATTAGAGAATCCCATGGAATCAGAAATCTGAGAATTCTTAGAGTTTCAGAATTCAAAATCCAGAGATCTAGAAGATCAGTAATTCAGTTCAAATATCCGAGTACCCGCGAAAACATAAAAATTCGAAAACGAAGAGTGCAAAACAACAAAAACCACGACCGTAAAAATCGCGTTACAAATTAAAAAATATAGAAACAGTAAATCGCAAAATTTCGGAATCGAAATGCTCTAGACACCCGAGTCGCAAAGAGCGTCGAAAAGCATCATACAGGTAAAAGCAAACGACGAAGTCGAAGAGGGTTCGCGTTCTAAGCGAACGGTCAGCCTCGATTTCGAAAACGGTGCGTTTCGAGTTGCCGCAATGCAGCAGTAAGAGAACACGAGGAGTCGGTCTCTCGCAATGTCGAAAGAATTTCCTGCGCGCGGCAAAGCTGCTGTTTCGGGAGGATGCCAGGGACGCAACGATTCTTTGTGCGACCCCGATCATCCGTAGCGGAGGGAATCACCGTTTCGTCGACCATTGTCCCCACTCGATTCGTCGTTGACGGACCAATGGCAGAGGGAACGTTCTTGGCGATCCTCGCGTTCGAATTCGAAATTTGAACGGACTGGATCATTACTCTTCGATCGAAAGGATTGCACGAATTCATTGATATCGTTGCAGCGTATGGTACGGTGCTTGCAGTAATTATAGCATCGGTTACACAATGGGCTTTGTTGCTCAACGGTTAACACGTTGGGGTCATGCGTGCTGAGACTACTGGACCAATCGAAAAACATTACTATTCGTTACTCCTAATTATAGCACTCACCTTCAAGGTTATATTCGCAAGATATAGAAAACGTTCAAGTCCTTACATCCCTTGCACTATTTTCACGAGACTCGTGACGCGTGAGTGCGTCAACCATGATCAATTTTACTTGAATTTTTAACATGCTTCAATTTGGAGTTTAAGTGCAATGTGGATAGTTAATTACTGCATAATAATGACATAATATTTTAACATTCTTTATCTACTTTAATACTGTAGCTGTATTTAGTCAATTTTACTTGAATTTTTAACACGTTTCAATTTGGAGTTCAAGTGCAATTTAGATAGTTAATTACTGCATAATAATGACATAATATTTTAACATTCTCTGTCTACTTTAACACTGTAGCT